TCTGCAATCCAAAATATGTCATATGTTCAAACAAAACCTTTTAAATCAACATTAATGGTCAGGTATTATGGAATATTACAATTATTTGCGTAATAAATATAGGTTAAAATTATTCATGTCATAACAATAATAATTATTTCATGTTATAAAATAAAAAAAAATAAGTTAAGGAATGACAAGTTAAAATTATTTCTAGAAATTTATTTTCATGGATACAATATTTCATTATTTATTCAAATTATTTATGTTATAATAATTGATAGTTTTTTTTGCCATACCACTCTAAAATTGTTTTGCTATATTACTAATATATTTATAATGTAAGAAGGTTAAAATTATTTATGTTTTAATAAGATATATTTATTTTATTTATAACATTTAAAATTTTTAAGAAAAAATATTTAAAATTTGTTTAATTTATTATAATGTGTTAATATTTGTATATGAAATAAAATTTTGCAATTATATATGTTATAAAAATATATTAAATCGTCTAATCTTCTTAAGATGAAATTAAAAATTATATTATACAATAATGTTAATATATAATAATATTAATTTTTATATGTTATAATCGTTAATACCACACATATCTTAAGATTTTTGTAAATTAATATAATTAATAATATATATTATTTGATATACAATTAACGTTAATTTTTAATGTTATTTTTTATGAAAATAACATTTTGTAATTACTTCTGTTACAGAAATATTCCATATCATATCGTTTTCTTAAAAAATAGATATATAACTTGTGTATGTGCCATTAATAATTATGTATGTGCCATATAACTTGTGTATGTGCCATTAATTTCAAAAAATATTATTCTTTCATTAGCTTAAAGATTATTTTAATGTATTAAAAATATTATATATTTTTAATCATATATGCGTATAGTTTTTGAATTCATATAGCCGTTTGCTATATTAAGTAACACAGAACGGAACTGTAGCTTCAATAATTCACTGAGATTTTTTTCTTCTTTTGGATCAATTTTAAATTATTAAATTTGAAATTAATAATAAATTAAAGAGGAAAATATACAGGTTTTGACAAATAATTTTTCTGTGAATTATATCTAAAACTTTTTTACTTTACAGGAAAAAAATGAGTAAGCACAATATTTTTCAATTATTTACTATTGTCTTTCACAATACTATTTAGCTAGTCTATAAGTTAATAAAAGAAAAAGTTTTCGATACATCATGAATTTCAACTTTAAATACAATAAGTATAAAAGATACTGTAAAAATTTAGTTTTAAACGAAAAATTTTATTGCTTTTATCAACAATTTCTAGCGTGAAATTCAATTTATTTCAAGAGCCAACCCGTTTCATTAGTCTAGTTACGTCAAATAAAATAAATATAAAAAAAAGAAAAGAATTAACTCAAGATGATTTCTGCCTCATCATCTGAATACCCTCTGGGGATATGAATTAATCAGCTATCCAACTTCCTATATTCATTTCATTCCTTCATTTCCAACCGACAGCTGTTTCGTTCTTTCTCACTGTATCAGTTGAACTAACATAGTTAAAACTTGATAGTTAATTTCCTTTAAATTGCGTCTGAAATGTTCTCTGCAACTAACACCTTTCCCACGCATGAATCTTTTAATATGCGAAGCTCGATCGTAGTTAGCTTAAAAGTTATGAGGGATTGTTGAAATAGGTAAAACTAGCAAGCTACTGTAAAGAAAAGACGTGAAAACGTGCAACTTAATCGCTGTTTATTAATTTATCAAGGCTCATTAAAATGCACAAAGTACGATGATGTTTGTTTTTAAAGTCGAAAGAATTTTAAGCACTTAAATGAAGTGTTTATAAGGAAATGTTTCAACTCCTGTATTTTTAAATAACTTGACATAAAAACACGGTTATATTCAGGAAGAATTTAAAAAATGCCTATTTTTTTGTTAAATTGCTGCATTTTAATATTTTGGAATAAGGTTTATTAACGTCTTACTAAAAGTATAACAAACATGTGGCCTTTGGATTCTGGTTGGCCCTACGATTTGTCGACTATGAACCGCGATGTCTAAAATAAAATTTTTTTTTCCTAATAAAATTTAGTTTGAAATTTTTTATATGCATTTGGTGTCAAATTTTTTTTAAATATAAAGAGTAAAATTAAATTTAATTAAATTAAAGTAAAATTAAATTTAAAACATGTTCTTTCCAGAGTATGTTCATACGGGCTAAGTTTCAAATATTTTCCAAAAATTTTAATTTTTATTTCCCAAGAATTATGCATAACAAATATCGTAAACCGATTTAAATTTCTAATTATGATTCGAATAAAAGTAATTCCTTACTGTTTCTCAATCTTGCTTATTCTTAAATATTTCAACTCATTATAAAGACGTCAGTCTTTATCATGATTGAATAAAGACGTCATGATGGAAAAGGGAATCTACGCCATTACAGAATAAAGCCATTAGTCTTAATTAAAAGGAAGTAATTTGATTAAATATTTTTTTTATGAATTGTTCAATGTTTTTTCTTATTAACAATATCTACATAAGGTCTCTTTAAATTAAAGTGGCGAAAAGAATGCGGACTTGCGCGTTAGTAAACAATGTGAAGGGGTTAGTATAACCTGGGACTGGAGGTCATATTCTCAGTCAAAGTACTTTACAAGTGATAGGTAAATGTAGGAAAATGATATTGAACCTAATTAACGAAGTCAATTTTCTGTGCGTCTGGTTCTTATTTAATTGTGGATAATGTTTTGAACATGGTTATACATTTTAAATCCATTATTTTTATAAACCTATTGAAATGCAATCTTATATAATTCTGACACATATACTTCTTTTTACGTATTACTGAATTTACAACTAGAGCAATTCAGTGTGAAAGTTTTGCAAATGCTAGCTGAACAAGTACAGTAACTAATTTTCGACAACTGATTCTTCATTTTAGAGTTGGCAAATTAAAGAGACCTGATGTGTTTAGGACATTTCTTCTGTCTTATTCAGAATCCCTTCTACTTCTTATTTCCCTCATCAAATCCTTTCAAACTCTTGTTATTATTTCGTAAAAAGCAGAAATTTACGTTAAAACCAAAATTTATTCTATTTAATTACTTTTACAGTTACAGAAATGCTCGAGTCATTTTTTGAGACCTTGAATCCAAAAAATGATAATTAATGTAATAATGAATTTATGAATTTCAGAGTAAACAGCTGATATGAATTTCATTTCCTTTTAAACTTTTAACAAGAAGTAAGCAGCTGATAAAATAAAATTCTCCAGAGATAAAATACATTCTCCAATTTTTTTTTGGACACAAAAGCTTAATGTTAAAGGGAATTGTGAGAGAAAAATTAAGACGGGGAAAAGAACATTGAGTCCAATAGCTTACAACTGTAAATGTAATAAAATATGAAAATCACGTGGATAAGTTTAATAATTTCATAATAATTTCACATAATGTAACATTTCCTATTTTTTCGAATAAAAAAAAATACTATCCTGCATAATAGTATTATTGCAATTTTCTCTTTTAATAGAGGGCTGCTATTAACGTTTTACATAACGTAAAAACCAGTCATTATATTTTCGTAAAGAGATAAACGCATTATCATGAGAGCCATTTAGATAGCTTAAATCGATTTGGTGGCACTGTCGTATCGCTAACAAAATTTTATCCTACCATAAAAAGGATTATTTTTATCCGCAGTGTTGAATTCACGATAAGAATTGAGTCGCTGCGAAACTACAAAAGGGAAGAAATGGTTGGGAAAAACCATTATAAATTTTTTATGTGAATTTTTTTGCTGTCTCTGGATAGAAATTGCTTGTCAAAAGATAATAGTGATAAAGCACGTATTGCAGTGTATTAATGCTGTTTAAACAAGCTTTTTATTAGATAAAGTCACTCAAGCGTGCAAATCGCTGTTCTTAAATAAGTGAAAGGAAAAGATGAGATTGTTTACAAATCCCTAATTATGTTAAAAGGATGCATCTTAGCATTCACACTTATTGGAGATTCTAGATAAGGATATAACAAAATTCGATGAACATTGAAATTATTCTTGAAATTGTTGAGGTCATTATTTATACTATATAATTTTGAATACCTAAACAATGTGTAATTGAATTATAAAGTAGAGGATAATTTTATGAAAGATGATGCGTGTTTGCCCAAATGTGAAGATGTATAAAATGTTAATTATTTAAAAAGATTTATTTTTTAAGAAGTTGATACAAAAATGGTGATATTAAAAGGGTATTTTAACTTGTTAGCTATATTTGTTTCGAATAGAATAAAAGTTAATATTAAAATTGAGTTTTTATTTGTGTATGAAATATATACCATACAGTTTTGAATACGTAATCTATAACTGTACGATTATTGTATTCCTATATAGATGTACCAAAGATATAATTTGATAGATATGAGAAAGATTATATTCCCGAAAGTTGAATTTTGTAAGCGGAATTAGTTTTCTAATGTCAACTATTCAAAAAATGCAATTTTCTTAAAGAAAAATTTTCCGTAAATGATATAATGTCCGTGATAAACTGTTGATGATCAAGACGGAAAATAAAAATGCATTTTTCAGTAATCAATGAATTTTTTTTTTATGAGTAATGAATGATACGTGTGATAAGTTTATTCTCTTCTAATAAATAATAATAATGTCTCAATTCATAATTGATTATTATTATTTTTAGTTTAGTTATAAGCACTTGACTCAGTATTTAGTTTTTATATAATATTAGTTTTAAAAGTAACCTTTCTTCCTAATCTTTTTTCTGAACTTAGACTTCATAGTATTTAGAAAAACTTATTAATATCATTAGTGTTGGGTATTATTTTTTAAATGATAAAACTAAGATTGTCAAATAAAAAAATTGAAAAAAAAAATGCATGACAAATATTTTACAATGAATAAAATTTCACACTTTGTAATGAAAGAAATAAGTTTTTAGATATTGGTTTGTTTAAAGAATCTAATAATAATAATAATTAAAGATTTGAACTTACCTGCAGCAAGAAGCAGATATATCGTCCATATCCTCCACGGTCCACCCTCCTTCATCGTAAATTATTCGAGATCGTGTCGTTTTTTCCTAAAATAATAAATAATTATTTAATAAAACAATTAGAGTTTTATAAGATTTAAACTCACTCTGCTCATATACATGTGGAATAAAATAACATTATAAATCACTAGAAAAAGGAATTCATCCAGCAGTTTTTTTGATTTTGTGTTAAAACAAATCACCATAGCAATTTTTAATTATTCAAAAAAAAATGTAAAATAATACGAGACAAAAAAAATTGAAACGTTAAGAAAAATTGAATTGATTATTAGAATCAATACCAGCAATTGTTTCTTTTAAGTATTATGTTTTCCTTCAGCCTTTAATAGAAGCTGTATTGTTTTATAAACTGAATTCTTCACAATCCTTGTCTCAAAAAAATGTATTTAGTGCAAAAAATGTTTAATAAATCTTCAAAAATTCAATCTTCATGGTTAAATTGTTTTTTTTTAATAAACACAAAAGCAAATTAATTAATTTTTTAACTAATTTTCCAAGAAATTAATATTTTTTCAAAGTTTTCCAAAGGCTGAAGATTTGCATTAATGCACGAAATTCAAAGATGCATTATAGAAAAAAAGTAATTACGTTATGTTTGTTACTTGATATAAAATATTGGAAAGTATTTCAACATTCAAAAATTTTTAATGCATTCCAATGCTTATAAAATTGCAGGAAAAAGTTGCAATTCAAATATTACGACATATTTTTTTTAATGCATTTAATTACAATATTAAATAGAGTACACGCCCAGACTATTACAAAAACGTATATCTTGTTATTCTTCTAGAATCACTTAAGTTAGTAAATTAGTATTTAATTAGTATTAATTTTGTTAGTATTTAATTTTGTAAATGAAATCATGAAATTAAGAGATAACACGGTGCTTTAAGAGGCAAGTAAATAATAATACTAATATTTTTTACTTACTAACATAGATAAACACGTATATGACAGAAATGTGTAACGTTTTCATCTAATAAATAAAAACGTTATGTATATTTCTTAATTGCAACTCCGTTACAATTTCGTTAAATGAATTGAAACAATCAACTTTTTTAAGCGAAGTCATCAAAACGAAAGTGATAAGCCGCTATTTAAAAAGAAATAAATCTAGATGACATTTATTATTTCTAGAAGGGAGGGTCATCTCGAATTTCGGGGGATTCATTCCTCTTACGAAGAAAGCCCTTTTAAATCGTTCCAAAATTTGGGTCATCGGACGATTTTGTTTCTCTTAAATATGTCAGGTGGACTTCCTCGAAGAATAAAAAGTTGTGGTTAAAATTAATTTTCGTTTATTGCCGCTTGTTGCTTCAGCTCTCAGAACGAGTTTTTATCCATTTTTTAATTCTATCACCATGATTTGATTACACTGAAGAACTGATCAATTGAAGTCCTTTGTATGGGCCTCATCAATTATATTTCTTCCAGAGAAGAGAATTTGTTTACCTTTTGTGGATTTGGTGAATAGTACATGTGTAGAAAGAGCTTTCACCATGACCAGAATAATTTGAATCAAACCAGGGTGGTTACCTGACCTCAAATCATTTCGTCCTTGAGGATATAGAAGTGCAATTATTCAAGTGATGAAATATATTAGAAAATTACAATTATAAAATTTGCGAATTTTTTTGTAATCTCAAATATTTTTTTAAAAAACTTATTCCTAACATAGATCCCAAATTATTCGAAGTGATGAAATATATTAGAGTAGTACAATCATAAAATTTTTGAAATTTTAAACTTTTTTAAAAATTTTCTGAATAAATACATCCCAAATTAATTAAAGTGATAGAATATGATATAATTATGAAATTTATATATTTTTTGTAAATTTGAAAAACTTTTTCGTAAAAATGCTTGAATAGCATGTAATTTTTAACCCTTTCATTTAGAAAGGTAAAAAGAAATGTAAAATACTTTGTTGAGTAAAGTAAAGAGGCTTGTTAGAATATCTTATTGCTTGATAAGAATGAAATTGCAGCTTCCGGACCAATTATAAAACAACTTTGATTGGCCCGGAAAAAGAATTACAAAAGGAATTATTTGACTTTTGCAATCTGAAAAGGGACTTGTTATGCTAATTTATTATTTATTCAATGATATTATTATGACGGTTAGGTTTCTCCATATTCAGATAGTTTCTGGTTGCAGTAAAAACGTCTTATAAAATAACCACGAAACATAAATGTCTTAAATTATAAATTGCAGGCGTTTACACCTGCCAAATGTTACCTACCTGACTCACAATGAGTAAAATGTTAGCGATAATTAAGTCATGTATCATAAAAAATTTCGCGACCTAGGTTAGATGTCAAGTTGTGTGCAACTATATTTCTCATAATTCAATCAACTTTACATTAGGTTAAACTTTTAAAAAGTGCAACTGAAAAGAAAAAGGGTTTAACGCTAAAAGACATATTATTGGATTACTTGCTGTGAATTTGATTACGTTTTAAAGTACTATTACTGTTTTGAGTGTCCCTTTAATGTCCATTAATAGAGTTCTACACTTGACCTTGCATAGCAATTTAAACCCGTGATGCAATTTCGACTTTTTTTTGTACTATTACTACTAACGCGTACTTCTTCAAGCGTTAACTTATAAGAGAGCTTATATTTCCCTGATAGGAAATTGAAATTCTAGAAAAAAGCATAAACATACTTTACGTTTTTGTAATAATTTTGTATTTATTTTACGAGTAAAGAATTTTTCAACTGTTCTCCGTTTGGCCACCTCCTAAAGTGTTGACATTTCGGAATCGTTATTTAGCTTACAGTTTCAAAATTTATTTTTCATATAAAATAAGATGTTACGAAACATCTTGAATAGAAGTAGTTTTCTACAAAAATAGTTCGTAAATTATGCTGAGTTATAATCATATTTCTAATGCATTTCTTATGAAATGAATTATCTGCATAGTGTTTCCTTAATTTAATATTAAAAAACGACAACAAGTCTTGATATTCAAATGTGTTATGTAACATACGCTATTATATAGACTGATATGAAAATTTTAATATCGTAGCATAACACAAAGAATTATCGATATTTTTAGCACTGTGGACAATATTTTCACTATCTCTATTTATCACTATCAATATTTTCACTATTTATTTCCCCAATAATAATAATAATATTGTAATTCGATAGTCATTGTTATCAACAATAGCAACGATATTAACATATTCGGTGTTTATCATTGCTATTACTATCGATAGTACTAGTTTTATAGTGTCCGCAATTTCATCATTGTCAAAAACAATCGCATGCTTGATGTTTATTATAATACATGGTATTTCTTATATATCGCGAGAATATATTTAAAAAAAATCGTTATCTGAACATTCAAGGATTGTCAATATTTTACTACATATCGCTGAGATCCACTAAGATACGCCGAATCAATGAGGTGCACGAATTAATTCTGTTAAAATTATCACAAATGATCAATTATTCATTTTTTGGTTCTTATTAATATCATTATTGACACAATAGTTACTATTCATGTTTAAACTTTCCCTTTCGCTCGTCAATATGACAGGTAATAAAAGTAGAGCAACAAATTTAAAAAATAGAATCGTGAAAGCAAAACATGTCAGGAAAAAAAAAGTAAAAAGTGCCCTTAAGGGAGATACTGTAAGTAACAGTCATCAAAATATTATCATCAATAACAATCGAACATTTCTTCCCCGCGGAGGTCAAAAACACGATTCTTCTAATCTCTATGAGCTTGACGTTGAATATACCTTTCATAAAAGAAATTAAAAATAAGAGGTAGATATAAAACACAGCTCTCCCCACGTTGTTCATGTTCCAAAGGGTGTGCGCTCATTTATAGTAACTCCTTCATCCCACGATGGCGCCATGTCTTGCTCCTTCAATCATCCTCCCCCCCCTTCTTTTCGCTCTCCAATGCATACGATTATATTGATATATATTATAATTAAATAATGAGGAGTGTTTTATTTAATGAATAATACGTTTTCTAGAAAAATACTAAGAATAAGTTAAGTGCTTTTTAGATAGTATGCAAAACAGGTGACACTTGGTCCACGAGGGCTTTTGAAAAGGAGTTTTATTACATTTTTTCAATAATCAATTCTATTTTTTTTCTAACATAATAAAAAGTGAGTACATATTAGGACTGAAGTATACATTTTAGATATCAATTAAACTCTAAAAATACTGCTTATCTATTAAAGTCCATAGATATACGAATGTATTTTAAATTATTTGAATTCAGGACTCTTTTTGATTAAGTATCTGAAATTGCATTATAAAGTCTATAATAAGCATTGTAGAAATATTTATTGAATAAATTTAAATTAAATAATCTAATAACGATTACGTACCTAGAAATCGAAAAAATTATGTATTAATACAAGAGGAAAATTTTAACTTTTAAAATATAAAACTTATATAATCTTTTAACAAATAAAATTCATCAATTTTCGAGGATTAATTTAATAAAATAAATGTAAGAAACGCTAAAAAAATACTATCGAAATTAAAATCGATTTTCTTTTATACTTTGCCCGAGGAGCGATCCAAAAGTATTAAATTTGCTTATTGCGTGAGGAATTAACTTTGTAGTAAGGTAAATATTATAACTATGCATTTTGTGAATATAATAAGAAGTATTATTTCTTTTTATATTTAGACATAATTTTAAACAAATTTAAAAAAAAATTTCAATAAAATTTCACTACTGTTTTCAACAAACTAGAATTTTATACAATACAGTACTTTGTAGTTAAATATTATTTTAAAAAGCTGTTGGGGCTTACAAAAGCAATATTTTCATTTGTTTACCAATATTATTGCATTGTATTAAGTTTTAAAAATTATAAACATCCCCCCCCCCTGTTTTACCCAGTTTAAGGCCTATCTTCTTGTTATATTCTATGGCAAGAATCATTATGGCATAATATTAAAATTAACTTTATTTATGACGTATTGATCCGCTGAATGCCGTTATTTTAAAATTTACTGAAATATAATCGTTAAAGCTCCTAAAGTG